TGCGCTTCCCCGGCTTGTAATAATAATAATAATAATAATAATAATAATAATAATAATAATAATAATAATAATAATAATAATAATAATAATAATAATAATAATAATAATAATAATAATAATAATAATAATAATAATAATAATAATAATAATAATAATAATAATAATAATAATAATAATAATAATAATAATAATAATAATAATAATGATGATGATGATGACGACGACGACGACGAAGAAGACGACGACGATGACGATGATGATGATGATAATAATAATATATAATATTAAAAAAAAAAAGAAAAAAAAAAAAACCAAAGACACCAGCTCGCGAGCTGTCGAACAACTATATTAGGGCTCGAGCTCGAGCTCGTCCGAATTTCGAACTCGTGAGGTTAGGTTCGAGCTCAAGAAACACGAGCTGAAGTTCGAGCCTTTGTCGACCCGCTCATCGAGTTCGCGAGCCAGCTCGACTCGTTTACCACCCCTAATCCCAGGTATATAAAATAAGAGCTTCAGACATCTTTTTTGTTGTGCCTTTATTGAGAGAGTATTTTCAGAGAAAAGGTTTCATCTCTCGCATTTATTAATCCATTGTGAGATACATCTTTTCATAAAAAATATACTGGTTTCTAGGCTTTGTGGAGAAGACACCAAGTTTCAAGAGTACTCACAAGTATGCTTCTTCTATACAAACAGAAGAATGGTTCTTCAGGAGAGGGGCTTAAAAGATCTCGGTAGGAGGTCGATCCGCAGACTAAAAGGATTCGGTGTTGAAGGGAGTTCAACCGTGTGGAGTGGTGGACGTACTGCAAATTGAAGATCACAATTTCGAGTATTATACAAGAACGGGTTCAACAAATGAGTCTTTAGTTTTGAATAAGTCCAATAATTGTATTCGTAAACCTGAAATTAGTGAATTATTATTTGCAAATCCCACGTGGATTACGTTACGTTTGTATCTGATCCACGTTAAAATTTTAGTTCCGGTTATTTCTGTTTGTTTACGAACTGTCGCAACACTCTTAATACACAGTAACGAAAAACTGAACATGGCACTAATATGTAATATTTATACGGAATAAGTCTATCAAATTGAATACACACCAAGAACCTATGATGCCTTATTTCCATAAAATAAGTAAAATGAGCATTGGGTCATTGGATATTAGTATTCAAACCCGGATATCAGTTTACAAACCCTTGTGACATCCTGAAATTTAGTTTCAAACTCATGATGGACCTTTTTCATTCATCTAATTGTTGATAATTGAGGTCATCAATATTAGGTGGGCACCACTTCTTGCATGCTTTGGGGAGCCTTTTACATGTTCTTGTTTTCTTTTCTCCGGCCCTTGTCTAGTTTCAGTTTGTCCTCCGCTATATTGACCTCTTGATTACGATGGTGCATGGTAGTCGGTAGAATTACCATGAGATCTTTGTAGACGACGGATTTCATTTATTGGAATAAAATTAGAGTTCAGAAACCTATAGGCAATCATGTGGACATCATGATATACAAAAGAATAGGGCTTTTCTCATGAGGAGAAAAAAACCACGACACTTTTGGCACCACATAGAGTGCAAAGTTCGGTGACCTTTTCAAAATGACCAATTCGTTGTTGGACCCAAGCGACTTGGATATCAGTACGTCTCGTTCTCGATTTTTGCCATTTACGGCCTTTTCTTTTCTTGTGAGGGTTAGGGTTGTTTTCTGATGAGTTGTTTTGATTGGATGAGTTCATCTTGCAAAAGGAAAAATGATAATTGGCGAAATCATCAAATATTGGAAAATAAAAATCTATTCAAGAAGATAAGAAATATAAAATATCTCAATGCACACGAAGGTTAGTAGGAAATTTTTAGTTTTAGCCATTCAAGGAACATCTATTTATATAAGAGCAGATGAATGCCGTTGTACCTTTCTGTTCCATTTTCATTAAATTCCAATATAAGCCACACAATCAGGTTTAGTCTACTACAGATTTATCAATTAATTTTGTTGGATCTTGGGTAGTGTGAATATGGTCTAGTGAATCACTAAGAGTTTAGCATTTGTGAATGTTGCGTATCTCAACATTTCAATATTAATAGTAAATGTTTTTCGCTTAATAAATTTAAATTGATAAAAAGGAATGTAATTACCACATATTGAGATGATTCTATATTTGTAATGTCACTTTTATTTTTGAGAGATCTACGGATACAACATAGAAATTAATTCTGCTAAAGAGAAATAAATCGGTTATAAAATTTAGGTAGTCAATCTCATTAATAAGAATCGTTATGAAATGATCTTCTAATATGCATAAAAAACGTGGATCATAATTATCATAGTCGTGTATATATATCTTCATAACTATACAAAAACACAATTTGCATGTTGTTAAGTATACAAACGTACACTATTAGCATCTATTACGTTAAGAATCGACTAATTGTTCAATTATTTATGGGTCACTTGGGTGCATTTTAGTCATTGTGGCCTCTAGAAGATAGAATCATGCACTTTTCATATTTTATGGGTTTGCTGTTGTTTTAGTGGTTTATAGGGCGAATATGGCAAACGAGGGAGAATTAAATCAAACGAAAAATAGCGAAAAAGGGGCCAAGTATAGATCCTTAGGTTTTGACCGATCAGTCTCACAGATCGATCAGTGAAGCTATAAAGAAAACCCTAAGGTGAGCCACCGAACGATCGGTGCGTATCTACTGACCGATCAGTGAGATGGTATTAATTATTTTTGTCCGAATTTCATAGGGCACATGCCTTTTAAGGGAAAAAGGACATTGGAAGAGAAAAAATGCGAAGAACTCAATCTAGGGCTTTCAAAGATAAATTGGGTTGTGGAACGCAAAATTGCGACGGTGGTAGAGCGACAACCACACCGATGATGAGGTTACTCAGGTTCAATTCATTCGCCATAGATTTTCTTTTATCTCTTTTATTATAAATTTGTATATTAGACTTGGTAACCAACAAGACAACTTGTGACTGTGGTCTTTCATTTCCGTGTTATATATGAACAATCTATTTCGATTGAAAGAAATTTTATTTTAGCAAGCCATATTTGTTGTCCTATGCAAGCGCATAGATATAGACCTTATAGTTTCTCTAATTACAATGAATTGGTTTAGGAGAATCGTGAGATAATTCATTAAAGTACTGTAACTACTAAAGTGGTTCCTATTCGATAGGTTACGCCGATAATAGAATAATGGCCTTTCTCTTTCGAGCCTGGCATATAGTGTACGTGAGTCGGGTCTCGTCACCCAGTGGTGTAGAGACATCAGCATACTTGAGTGAGTTCTCATAGTCGATGAGTTCATGGAACTCCCTCGTCCTAGAATCTCTAGGTCGTTTCAATTAGTCGAGTAGATATTATATGATATATAATTGTATACTATTAGTCTTTAGGAACTAATCCATCACTACAACTTCACCGAAGGACTAGTTGTGTTGTGACTTGTCCCTGAGTCTCACTGAAGACTGCTCCAAGGGCCAACGTTGCCAAGTTAGAATCTAGTGGGAGTCTATGCTTTGTAGGTTAGAATTCAACCGCTTGATAAGTCATTCAATGTAATTTGTATTTTTTCAGTGTATAATCCAAGGAGCCTTTGGCCTGGGGGTGTAATTAGAGAAAATATTTTCTCTGAATCACAATCGATTGGGTTATATAGCTTTTAAACGTTAGCACAATTAACGAACAATATTAAAGGTCTCGATGGGCTAATGCCTCTAGTTCGATCAGGATATGTTTGTCGATGAGACCGTGTTGTACGTTAACTATAGTCTAAGGTTCTTGCAGGCACTTTATTTATAACTAGGGGATCATGATGCGTAGTTGCTAAACACAATCATGATTTGTTGGGTTTAAATCGATAAGATTGGCAATTGAGATTAAAATGAGTTTTGATCTCAATCAAGACACTTGGGACGAGTCCGTATAAAAACAAGAAGTTGTTCAAACGTCAAATCACAAAGAGTTGTGAGCCCACGGCTAGCTTAAACCTAAACCATTGAGGATGCCACTTCTTGTGGTCGGATTTCCTTAATGTGGTGATCTAAGATCAAAGTTGTTTTTCTTAGAATGATCCGAGCTCAATATGATTGAAAACGTTTGTAGTAGTCGATTACGAGTTAGACTGAAGAGAGGAAAGTTCTCTGCAGATGTTAATTGGACTTTCTAAATTGGAAAATTTTCCCAATTTGGCAGGTGTTCTGAAACAGACGGAGGAAAAAACAGGCAGAAAAATAAAAATCAACGCCGAAAACCGGCGGCAAAAATAAAAAACAGAAAAAGAAAAGTTTTAAAAAAGAAAAAGTTAAAATTGGATGATGAAATTGAAGTTAAATTAGGGTTACAATTAGGAATTGTGTTAAAGGGTTGGGGGTAATTTCATCACATAGATTAATTTTACCTATATTTATAAAACATATTAAAGGGATGCACTTATTGACTAAATAGATATAGCCCCGGAACCTAGAATAATAAAGATGGTTGGTGAGGGATGTTAGAGTAGGTGACCAACAAGCCAACCTGTGGCTGTGGTCTTTCATATTTATTATTGTAATAAACGAACCTTTATTCGTATTAATGATAAAACACATTGGCATTCTATATCTTTGTCCCTTTGTCACAAGCATAGATATAGTCCTTACAGTTATTACAAGTACTAGTAATTGATCGTTAGGATCGTGAGATATTTACTTAAGTATTATAACTGTTAAACGTGTTCCTAGTCGAAGGGTTACGCCACTAATGAGGATATCGGTCTTTCCCATTAAGACTAGCACTTAGTGTATGTGTACTGCATCTCATCAGTAAACGGTATTGTGATATCGGCATGCATAAGTGGGTGCTCGTAAGTTGACGAGTTCACTGAACTCCCTCACCCTAGAAATCTCTAAGTGGTTCCCAATAATCGAGTAGAGATATCTATGGTATAGTTGTACACCATTAGTCCTTATGACCTAGACATCACCGTGACTTCACTAGAGGACCAGCTGTATCGTGACCTGTCCCTGAGTTCCACCGAGGACCATCCCAAGGGCCAGTGTTCGTGCAGTCCGAAATCTAGTGGGAGGTCTGTGCATTGTAGTCGGGGATTCGATCGCTAGAATAGTCTTGGATGTCCTGTGTGTTCTGAAAGTTTGTAATCATTCTAAGTCTCTGGCTAGAGCTGACTAAAGTGATGATTAGAGAATTCGATTCTCTAAGTCGTGCACGTAAGGATTACAACACTTAGAACGATCGCACCGTCATTGAACATATAAAGAGGTCTCGATGAACCAATGCCTCTAGTTCGATCGGGACATATGAATCGAAGGGACCGTACTGTACGTTAACTATATCTGAAGGTTCTTGCAGGCACTTCATTTGTATCTAGGGAATCATGACGCGTAGTTGCTAGACGCCAATCTTGATTCGTTGGGTGATTAAGGTGAAACGAGCTTCATCTTAATCGTAACTCTAAGGGACGAGTTTTGACCACAAAGAGTTGTGGGCCCACGGCTAGGTTACACCTGAACCATCGAGGGTCACACTGCTCGTGCACATGAGATCTTTGAATAAACGGTCAGAGATAAAATATTTTATCTTTGCATAATTGGAAGTCAATACGATTGAGTCCAACATTCGTAATTTAGAATTACGAATGAGAATAAGAAAAGGAAAAGAATAGGCGAACGTATTAGTGAACTTTCTAAATCGGGAAGTTTCCATATTTAGAAAGTGCACTGAACTAGGGTTTCCACTTTTAGAAAGTTGGAAAATGAGAATTGACACTCGTAATGACGAGGACTTTATAATGATTCCGAAAATGTAATCGTTGCAATTTTTCGGTCATTGGATTGAGAGAAACGAGCAAGTAAAAGTACTAGCGAACTTAAGCTGTTGGGCCCGGTCTAACTTAAGCCCGCTAGGGTTTTATGCAAGACACTATAAATACAAGATTTATAGGTCTTGCACAGATAAGTGAAAACCCTAACCCTAGCAGCCGTTCTCCCTCTCCCTCTCGCCCTCTCCCCGCGGCCGTCACCGGCGCCGTCGCCGGAGCTTCACCAGAATCGGCCATTCGTTGGCCGATTGTTTCGGTATTGTCTTTCCTTCTTTTTTTCTTCCGTTTTTCTAACTATTACGTGTCTAGTGCCACGTGTTTAGTAGATCGAAGTATACGAGGTGAAATCCGAGAGGAGGAAGACCAAAGATCGAAGAATCGAGGAGCAGCGCACGAGCCGAAGCCGCACGCTGCCCCACGCGCCGCCCCGGAAGAGCGCGCGTGAAATTCACGCGCCGCCGTGAGCCGTCTCACCGCCGCTGCCGCTGCACCGCTGCTGCCCCGATTGTACGGATTGGTTTCCGTAGCAATCTCGACTTGCCAAGCGCTCCTACCTCACGCTTCAAGAGGTAAACACACGAATCCCTTGTTTCGATTCGTTTATGTTTAAACTATATTTTCATGTTTGCTTTCATATGATTTTATGTGATTATGTGTAATCGTTTTAATCGTTGCAAGCATGTTATTTGGTTTAAACGCGAGCATGTTAATTGATTTAAATTCGGTTAAATTATTTAGCATGTATGTTGTTTTAATTTCGCTGGAAGCGCAAAGGTACGCAATTAATTGATTTTAATTTGTCGGGCATGTGCTTGTGTGCTTTAAAGTCGTTTAAATTACATTAAATTTTTGTTTTCCGCTGCGTACACGTGCCCGAAACCCAACAAGGGACTCATGGATCAAGTCGTGCCTTATAATTATCCCTTGATTTGTCAGAATTCATTAATGTGTATAAAACTTTATCACACACATTTTTCTCTATATGCATAACATCAAGATTATGGCGCACCAAATTTTTTTCCCAATACGGCAAATCAAATAGAATGCTTTTTCTCTTCCAACCGTAAGGTAAATTTTGATCACCGGTGTTTCTCCTAAACTTGTTTTGAATATCCTTTACATCATCTAATACTGTAGATCCCTTCAAATAAGGAGGTGCATTTCAATGCTCTTGTGTGCCATCAAATGACCCTCTATCGTTTCGATATGGATGATGTGCTGGTAAAAAAATACGATGGCACATGTAACAATATTTATGAGAGTTATACAACCATTTGGAGTTGGTAAACTTGTAACATACTGGACATGCATACTCTCCTTTCGTACTCCACCCAGATACAGCTGCAAGTCCCGGAAAATCACTAATAGTCCATAATATTGCTGCACGCATTTGGAAATTTTCTTTTGATGAAGCATCATAAGTGTTTACTCCAACATCAAACAATTCCTTTAACTCAGCAATTAATGGTTGCAGGTATACATCAAGATTATTTCCAGGTTCTGTGGGTCCGGGAATAAGTACAGACAACATAAAGTACGATTTTTTCATACAATGTCCAGGTGGCAAGTTGTACGGCATTAAGATTATTGGCCATGTACTGTGAGCGACATTCATGGTTTTAAAAGGATTAAAACCATCGGTTGCCAAACCTAATCTTACATTGCGCGGGTCTTTGGCAAAGTCCGGATGATGGTAGTCAAAAGTATGCCAAGCAGGAGAATCTGCCGGGTGTCTCATGAATCCATCTTTGGTCCGCTTTTCTTCGTGCCACTTCATAAGCGAAGCAGTTTTAGAATTCATAAACAGTCTCTGTAATCTTGGTTTCAACGGAAAGTGCCAAATGATTTTTGCCGAAACTTTTTTATCTTTTTTAGAGGTTTTTGAAGGAACACCATTTTCGTCTTGAATACGGTCTGGTATTATCCATCGTGGCTCGTCACAAGTCTCGCACCTGGTCTTACTCTCATTAATACCCCAATATAGCATGCAATTGTTCATGCATGCATCAATCTTTTTGTAATTCAGGCCCAACTCTTTCAATATCTTTCTAGTTTCATAGTAGTTTATAGGCAATTGGACACCTTCTGGAAATGACTCTCTTAATAAATTAAGAATCAAGGTAAAAGAAGTGTCACTCCAATTACCGAGACACTTGATATGAAGCAATCGAACAATGAAAGAAAGTTTAGAAAACTTTTGACATCCTGGATAGAGCTCTTTTTCTGCATCTTCCATAAGCTTATAAAATTTCTCAGCTTCTTTACAAGGTCTTTCTGCTTGTTCTACTTGTGGCTCTCTTTCCAAATCATCATCTTCATCATGCACCCCAAATCTATCATGTAGCATTTCTTGCATGTTATCAGATGCATCCATGTCAACGTAATCTTGTGGTATTTGTGCTTTATCAGTGATAGTCTCTCCGTGAAGTAGCCATTTAGTATATCCACTTAAAAAACCATCAAAGAAGATGTTCTACCACTACATCCCTTGTTTTGCAAATGGCGTTTTTACATTTTTTGCAAGGGCACAAGATCGTCCCATCGGTAGAATTTGAGAAGGAAAAGTCGAGAAAATATTTCAGCCCTATATGGTATTTTGTGCTTGACCTTGGAAAATCCATCCATTTTTTGTCCATACTAATATTTTCAGTCGAAATAGAAACAATTATGATGAATATAGATGTACTGAGAACTTAAACTAAAATATTTTCTTAGCTAATTGAAATAAAAAATAACATTTACTGAAACAAATTGCAAACATTAGATTAGCACAGAGGTACATACTGTGTGATTCATGTTCAATGAATTTGAGAAATAAATGGAAAAGTAGGACTCAAGTAAGAGATTAATATATTTTTATTATAATCATTTGATCAAGGTCATCATTTAGCTCACTAAATAGATTCTAATCTTGTTAGCACAATTTCAATTCGGTGTATACATACACGCACAATAACCTCACACCACACATCACACATATATACAACTGTGATGTATCTGTGTAATGTTGTTAATGCACGAATTAATTTTCAGAAATACTTTACAAACATTTCATCATCGCTAAACGTTTTCTAGTGCCCTGTATCAACAATAGGATTACTATCTAGTTTTTCTCCTATAATTTGATTTTTTTCATTTTAAGAGATTATGTTCTAACTATCGAGGAACCCTCCTACCACTGTATATATGAGGCGACCTACGGAATCAAAAATGTATTCATACACCAAATAATATAAAAATCTGCACAACACCCAATTTCAAATCAATAAGATAGAAGCCATCGTTTTGAAATTTTATATAACTAAATTGTATAAATTAATCTGTACATGTTAATAAGTTCCATAAGGCAAAACCACAAAATCAATTGAGTTTTGTTTTTCTAATAGAAACTCAAATACACAAACACGGTTAGCAAATTGAGCCCAAAATAAAAAAAAATAAAAAAAAATAAAAAAAAAAACAGAGATTAATCGCCAAAAAAAAAAGCAACAACCACGCATTAATTTTACCTCGAAGGATTTACGACTGAGAAATTGTATTCGGGTGTTTTTTGCTTGATTGGGTATGTCGGCAATTCACCATAAATTGCAGTATTCACACCTAATAGAACTTATAAGCAAAAGTTGTTCTTCAATTCTTCTTCTTCTGGGTGAGTAGTGTAGGTTACGAGAATTCCCAATATTTCTACTCTTAGTTGGGGAAAAAAAGAGAGGAGAAAGGAATATAAAGATTTTTATATGAATAAAATGAGACGTGATTTGCTGCCGCTAAAATTGAGAGAGGGAAACGTGTAATTTATTGAAATATTTTATTAGGTCTTATATTTTTGTTTCTACCCTTTTTGTGTCGGTAAGTAAAACGATATTAACACGCTTTATTAATGCGTGTCAATAGTCACGCTATATTGTGACAATTTATTTAAAAGCGTCATAAAATATATTTTTTCTAATTTACAAAAAAAGGATAAAAATAGAAATGCGGAAATCACCGATACTTTTAGTTTAAGGCGTCATAATAGAATACTTATTGAGACAATTTTTATACCGTGTCATATTAAGGTGTCATTAAGGCGTCATTAAAGAGTGATTTTCTAGTAGTGATATTAAAATTAACACTAATTAATGATATATCAATTATAGACAAGGATAACATATAGGGCTTATTTTACATACCCCTAGCTACCAAATAAACTAGGGATAAACCCAAACCAAAATCATCCTTTGACATACCCCTGGAGAGGCGAAAGTACTATACTACCCTTATATGCAATTTTCGGCCAAAACTGCATTCATCATTTCTAGTCCTACATTTAGCATTTTTGCTAATTTATTTATTATTATTTTTCTGCTTTTTTTTTTAATCAACTGTTTGTCTTTTTTTTCCAATTCAATATGTTTACTGTACTGAATATAACTACATGTAACTGTAGTAAACTATAGTAATTCGTAGTTATGTTCTCTTTTTTTCTCCATATTTTTAGTCGATCAATTATATACACACGCGAATATTGTTTTATACAAAAGAAATTTATAAATCCCAACAACAAAAATTTACAAATTTCAATATTTATATTATAAATCACCTCATAACCAATAAAATACAAATAAAAAATACACAAATATATGCATATGTAACTACATGTTACTATATGTAACTAGTAATGTATAATAATGTATAGTAATGTATACAGTCGGTTGAATAAAGCAGATGTAACTTCAACCAAAAATTTTGACACCTTCAAGGAAAGGAACAATGGCCTTCATTAAGCTGCAATTGTAAAATCAAAACAAAAAATATATTTTAGTGCGAATCAACAAAAATTAAAGAAACATGAAAATACTCAAAAATCAACAAACACTACGAGATCGAGAGATAGAGAGAGGCCATAGCTGCGAATTTTAGATCAAACCGTCAATGACTCCTCACCCAAGCACCTCCTACCAAAACCCTAGCCGTCGCTAACCACCCAAGGTTCCGCGCTTACAAATGCAAAAAAATATAGAAATAAATCTGACAATATAGAAATGAATGAAATTGCCATCAAAATAAAGATCCCGACGAGAGGATCCAATGGTGGGTAGCCCGTCAAATTCTGACTGGTGAAATATAAATTACACCTCTGGTAAGACCACCATCGTCGAAATACGCCGACTGAAAGATAATTGTAGAACAGATCCAACACTCCAATCCGAATGAAATAACCACCAAAAGAAAGAGCTGGACGTGAGGAATCCAATGATTGTTGAACCATCGAATTCCGACCACCGAAGAGAGAGTTATGATTCCAGGAAGCAATATCGCCGGTTAGAGACCTTGGGGGCGGGATTTGGATATGAGAATTGAGAGAGGAAGATAGAGACCGATATGGGTTGGCTAGAGTTTAAAACTGATTTAGAAAGGTATTTTGGGTACTTTAGGATGGGCTAGAGGTGTATGTCAAATTATTATCCAAAATAGAAGGAGTTTGGACTAGGGTGTAAACAACATGGTAGTTAGTTATATATATTTTCGAAATGAAGAGGTCTCCATAATAATCCGTGAGATATATAGAATGGTTGTATATTAATTATGAATAATTGCAGTCAAATATCCGCCATATTTATAATTAATGATATGTAGCATAAATAATTCAAAGAAACTAATTTTATGAAACCTGAAAATTCAATTGTTCAAATGAAATAAAAAAAAGGGTCTTTACAAATAAGCCCATCAATGGGTACTTATTTATAAAGAGATCAAGACAAAAAACTCATTTACCAATAAGTCCACACATGGTCCAGATTTTTGTAAAGGACTAAAATAATCCCTCATACTTTAATATGCTCCAATTTCATCCTTAACTTTATTTAACCTCAATTTGACCCCAAATTTCACAAATTATTCAATTTTGACCCAAAACATTTTTTTTTCAAAAAAAAAAAATTTCAAAAACTTTTTTTTTCCCGCCGGATTCCGGCGTTGACTTTTCATTTTTTTTTCTTCTTTTCTATCTTTCTGTAACCTTTTTTTTTCGTTTAAACAGCAATATTATTGTGATTGACAGTAATATTAACTATAAAACTGTTAAACACAGTAAAATTAAACTAAACTACAGTTTAACACAGTAATATTGCAATATTAATCTCTAGCACAGTAATATTAACATAAAAAAACTCATTATTATTGTGTAATAGAGTAATATTACTATGTTGACCGTTCAACAAATGTAAACATAATAAAAAACCAAAAGAATTAATATTACTGTGAGTGACAGTAATATTACTATAACAACAATAATATTACCGTCAACCACAGTAATATTACAATAATAGACAATAATATTATTACGTTACTCCATGAATAACACAAACAAACACAAAATCCAAACAAAATAATAATATTGATGTGGTTGACAACAATATTACTATAACAACAGTAATATTACCGTCAACCACAGTAATATTATTGTGTTTACAGTAATATTACAATAATAGACAGTAATATTATTACATTACTCCGTGAGTAACTCAAACAAAACAAAAAACCCAAAAAAATAATAATATTGATGTTGTTGACAGTAATATTATTGTGTTTACAGTTATTTTACTGTCAACGGCAGTAATATAATAATGTTGACTTGTCAACAAATCAAACAAAATAAAAAAAACAACAAAAAATAAAAAATAATAATATTACATTAATTTACTATCAACGGCAGCACAATTACATAAATGTATTGTCAATGGCAGTACAATTACGTTAATTTACTGTCATTGACAGTATAATTACGTTAATTTACTGTCACTGACAGCACAGTTACGGTCAACGTTTAGCGTCGGACGTAAAAAAAAAATAACCAAAAAAAAAAAAACTTAAAAAAACACTAAAAAAAATCAACGCCGGAGACCGGCGAACAAATCCGGAAGAAAAGAAAAGAAAAAAAAAAAAGTCAACACCGAAACCCGGCGAAAAAATCTGAAAGAAAAAAAATGAAAAAAAAAAATGAAATGTCAATGCCAGAATCCGGCGGCAAAAATTTTTTTTTTGAAAAAAAAAATGTTTGTGAAAAAAAAAAGTTTTGGGTCAAAATTGAATAATTTGTGAAATTTGGAGTCAAATTGAGATTAAATTAAGTTAAATGATGAAATTGGAGCATATAAAAGTACGCTCCAAAAAAAGTCAAAATTGGATTTTTGTGGGCAAAATTGATTAAATTGGGGTTACAATTAAGAATTGGGTATAAATGGTTGAGGGTAATATTGGGATATACATGAGTGTTTCCTTTATTTATAATAAATATTAAAGGGATGGGCTTATTGGTGAAAGAGATATAGCCCCTAAACCTAGAATAATAAACATGCTTGGTTGGGGACTTTATCACAAAAACCCCATAAAAAAATTAGAGACATATTCATAATCTCGGTTTTAATGGATAAATATACGTATATATACATGCACATTTCTATAAGGGCTCTTTACAAATAAGGTCATCAATGAGTACTTATTCATATAGAGATTCAGACAATAAACTCCTTTACAAATAAGTTCCCACATGGTCCAGATTTTTATAAAAGACTAAAATAGCCCATCATACTTTAATATGATCCAATTTCATCATTAATTTAATTTAACCTTAATTTGATCCAAAATTTCACAAATTATTCAATTTCGACCAAAAACACATTTTTATGGACAAATTCGTCCGTCACCGCCGTTGACCGCCGGTCTCCAGCGTTGACTTTTTTTTTCCTTCCGGATTTTTTCGCCGGTTTCCGGCGTTGACTTTTTCATTTTTTTTTCTTTTTCTTTCTGTAAAAAATTTTTTTCCGTTTAAACAGCAATATTGCTGTGATTGACTGTAATTATTAACTATTTTACTGTTAAACACGGTAAAATTAATTATACTACAGTTTAACACAATAATATTGCTATATTAATCTCTAGCACAGTACTATTGACACAACAAAACTCATTATTATTGTGTAATAGAGTAATATTACTATAATGACCGTTCAACAAATGTAAACATAATAAAAAATCAAAAGAATTAATATTACTGTGAGTGACAGTAATATTATTATAACAACAATAATATTACTGTCAACCACAGTAATATTACCATAATAGACAGCAATATTATTACGTTACTCCGTGAATAACTCAAACAAACAAAAAAATCCAAACAAAATAATAATATTGATGTGGTTGAAAGCAATATTACTATAACAACAGTAATATTACCGTCAACCACAGTAATATTATTGTGTTTACAGTAATATTACAATAATAAACAGTAATATTATTACATCACTCCGTGAGTAACTCAAACAAAACAAAAAACCCAAAAAAATAATAATATTGATGTTGTTGACAGTAATATTATTGTGTTTACAGTTATTTTACTGCCAACGACATTAATATAATTACGTTGACTTGTCAACAAATCAAACAAAATAAAAAAACTAGCAAAAAATAAAAAATAACAATATTACGTTAATTTACGGTCAACGGCAGAACAATTACATAAATGTATTGTCAACGGCAGTACAATTACGTTAATTAACTGTCATTGACAGTATAACTACGTTAATTTACTGTCAGTGACAGCACAATTACGGTCAACGTTTAGCGGCGGACGTAAAAAAAACTAAAACAAAAAAAAAACTAAAAAAAACACTAAAAAAAATCAACGTCAGAGACCGGCGGCAGAAAAAAACAGACACAAAAAAAAAAAAAAAAACAAAATCGAAAAGTCAACGACAAAGACCGGCGGCAAAAAAAAAAAATTTGAAAAAAAAAAAATTGAAAAAAAAAGTCAAAATTGGATTTTTGTGGATAAAATTGATTAAATTGGGGTTACAATTTATAATTGGGTATAAAGGGTTGTGGGTAATATTGTCATATACATGAATGTTTCCTATATTTATAGTAAATATTAAAGGGATAGGCTTATTGGTGAGTGATATAATCCTTAAACCTAGAATAATAAAGATGATTGATTAGAGATTTATTACAAAACCCCTTTGTATAAAAGGTACTGTCGAAGGCGATTTAAATAGATCTTATCCGTCAATATTTTTCTTATAATATTTGGGATATTTGGAATTGGGTGGAAAATTGTATAAATATCTCTTTAATTTTTTTTCCTGCATATGTTTGATTTATTGTGATTCGGTTTTCATCAATACATTAGATATGGTTCCTTCGACCCTACACTCGGTGAAAAACATCGGGTGGGTCTTCTGCTGCCACGTGTTCTTTTTTTTATTTTTTTAAAACCCCTAAAGGTAAACCCTAGCGGGTAATCTATTATAAAATACAAAAAAGAGACACGTGGCAGCAGAAAACCCATCCAGTGTTTTTCACCAGGTGTA